GCCGGGAACCGGGGGCCGAGGGCGCGGGTCGGGTCGGGCCAGCGGGGGTCCGCTGTCGGGGGAGGAGGCGGGGGTTGGCGGGTGGCGGGGGTCAGTGGGTGGCGGAGGTCGGCGGCTCGGAAAGCGCGGGGTGCGAGGGGGGGCGGTGCAGCGGGGCGGCGGGGGTGACCACACAGAGTGGTGTTCGGCGAGGGGCCGTGGGCAGGGGGGAAGAGGGCTCAGGAGGCGTGGGGTGGGGGGGGATCGGCGGGGAAGCGGGGCGAGTTGTGGGCGATGCAGCGGGAAGGATTTTGGTTTCATGAACCTGGTTGTCTGGCAATTTTTCGCTATTCACACTGTGTTATGAACTTGGTTGTCTGATGATTATTTGGCCACTCACACACAGAGTATCTCACACGCGCCCGTACATGCATAAGACAAAGGGGAGAGGAAACAGTCCAAACTGCACACATACGAGAGATAAGCAGCGGAATTCACACATGCACATCCTATCAAGTTACTATCAACCATGCACCGATGCGGAGAATACACACAGTGTTCCTCTCTCTCTGACAAACTCCCAACAACCAATCACAAGATGACACTGCGAAGATCACAATTGGAATATGACACTGATGATGAGCCAACTCAACTCAATTAACCCCAAATATCGTTACAGAGTTTAACCCAGTATCTCGCCACCTCGGTATCTCACACCCCACACACTACCCCACTCTTAGAGACCAGCGCTACACAGAAACAACCTCCCAGAGGCCAGCGCCAAACACCAGGATGAAGATCATGAGTCGCAGTGGAGTCTTCAGTGTCGATGAGTCACTCTGACGATGAGTTACTTCTACATATACTAGGCGTACACTAACCTACACCGACCACAGTCACCAGACCCTACTGGACCGACCTACTGGGCATGAAAATAGACTACTCGGTACCGTTTTAGTTGGGGCCTTGAGGCCCTTACCCAGCTACGGGCTCTACCCACTGTGGGCCCCTCAAGGCCTCTAATCTTCCGGGAAGACAGGGTCTGCGACAGCAGGACCGGACCGGTTCTATTTTTAGAACAGTCTACAGGTCTCAGTGGGACTGACGTGCGCACACAACAAACACGCAGCAAAGTCAGTCAGCATGCAAAACATTGCAAACCACACAGACATAGTACAGCCTCGCAATCAGTCACGGCAGCAGAAATCAGCAAGTCGTTGCACACAGAGTACAAAACACACGCCCGTGACACATTGACAATCTCTCTCTCTCTCTCTCTCTCTCTCTCTCTCTCTCTCTCTCTCTCTCTCTCTCCCAATGTCGATGTCTCCCGCGCCAAACTTCGTTCCTCCTGCCTGCGCAACATAGAGCGAGTTTGCGCCCATCGATCAATAAGCAGCACATTGGCCGATGGCGTGCACTGCTCTTGCGGGCCGAGTCCTGTCCTCTGCCTCACGCGTCGTCCTCCGTCGTCATCTCCATCTGTCGTTCGGAACCTCGGCACGTAATCGGAGTCATTAGGATCGTCGGCCCCTGTGGTCTCGCCGGCCTCAGCGGCTATGGAACTGTCATCATGGATGATGCTCCAGCTGCCTCGTCTCTTCTCGCCTCGCCCTGGTCTGTCCACGTCGTCACCCCCGTCTGCCCCCGCCTGTCCGTCAGCAGCTGCTGACATCTGTCTGGACTTATCTCTGTAGCGAAAAATAGGTGGCGGGCGGTGCCGATGAAACGGAATCGACATACCTGTCCCCTTTTTCCTCGCCTGGGATAGCCTCGCAGTTGTCATCCTGGTGTCATGGACGTCCTCTGTCTTGGGCTGTATGGGCCTCCCATGCCGCTCCTCGAAAGCTCTCATAGACTCGTGACAACTGCCATCGACGTGGCCTATCAACCGCGTCCCCGCCGGCACATCTGTCGGTCCACATGCTGATGTGTGTCCCATATCGCCTGCCCCTCGGTCTGTGCTCGCGCCGTTGTAGAAAGACATCGTCGGCAATGCACTGCGCGCATCCAAGCCATGGGCGGCGGGGTCGACGGCGGGGGGGTGCGGGGGTGGTGGACAAATCCCCGGCAGATGAGGTCGAGGGTCACCTGCATGCCCGCCCCCGACACCATGTGCGACGGCGCCGACGGGCCCGCCAGCATAAGGGTCTGTGGTCGATGACCCGCCGTGCTCGCTGTCCCCGCCGACGGGCTGACCATCAGCTCCGCTCCGTGGCTGAGCCGGATCCTGCCCCGTGCCCTCGCCTCCTCCCGACTGAACGACCCCCGGAACCTGCGCCTCTGTCGCCACCGTCAGGCCCGGGTGTGGCTCTGCCTGCTGACCCGCCGCCCGTGGTGGGACGAATGACCCGCCGTCTGAAAAATCCTGCGAACAACAATCCTCGGGCGCCACATGATCCGCGGAAGCTGCCTCTAATGACTCTCCCAGACTGCGTTGCGCTGCGGTGCACGGCCCGCCAACCCCTGCTCCACAGCCCACGGGCCTCCCACATGAAATCCAGCGGGAGAGTTGCGGACCTCTGAAGGATGCAGTCTCGTGTCGGCGCCGACCGCGTCGGATTCTGTGTCATGATGTGTCTCATCCAGTTGAGTAGCCTTTGGTGGTGCCACATCTGGCAAACTGGGAGATATCAAAAGCGATATTTCGGGCAGACCTGCCAAATCTGGGTCCATGGTCAGTAACTCATCAGTGCGCGGAAGACTGTCGGGAGGGCAATGGAGGCCGGCGCTCTGCTGAAGCGTGCCTGGGTATCCCGCCAATGTGCGGTGGATATCCTCTGTGGAGTAACCGGCGCTCGCCAGGGCACGCACCACATCCTCTCTACTGTAGCGTACAGACCTGAGGCCATCATGGGCACAAGCGGGAGTAGGTGCGACCTCTCCGTTCTCTAGACCAGCGTCTGTCGTGGGAGGGGGTGTTGCCTCCCCGTCCTCCATACCCACGCCTGCGGGGGGGACCTCCGCCCTAGGCGCCCCGTGCGCGCCCGTGACAACATCAGTGGAAGGCATGTGATGGAACTCCGTCTCCTCCGCGGTGTCGACAGTGGGCTCCGGCGACCGGGGACAAGTGAACACCACTCCACTCTCCTCCCGTGCCAACGACGTGGGATGATCACCCATGTCATCCTCCGACACGACGACCGGGTCCTGCTGCATGACATGTGCCTCCGTTCGGGTCGCGACATGGACACAAGTCACACGACGTCTACGCACACGAGAAGCAATGTTGTCATCCCGTCTGCCCCCTTGTCTCAACCTCTTCAAAACGATGGCAGGCATGCGAGTCATGGTGCGACCACCGTGACCAACATCGCCGTCCACACACTCCTTAGCCCTGTCGCCCCCACACCCACTCCCTCCACCATCGGGTCCATCACTTCCTCTGTCACCGCCTCCAGATCACCTCCACCGTCACCGCCTCCACCATCACCTCCCCCTTCCACGCCTCCACCATCGCCTCC